GCTGATGGTATGCCAACCGCTCGCCCTACCTATTTGTAGGCGCCGAGGCGACAATGTTTGCTAATTTGTCTTCCAGACCAAATGCTCACCCGAGATCTGAAGAAGTCGACTGATAACCTCGTTGTTCACGGAAAACTCATCATCAACCTATCGTGCGATCTCTCAGCACCCCTCCGAGGTGCCCAGGCTTCCTCCTCCCGTCCTGGTATGCCATCAGGGACGAACGGATCCTCTCTCTCCACCCCCTCGCTCGACAATCGCCCCGGTTCCGCCATGTCTGGCCATAACAGCAATGGTCTGGCGGCTTCGGCATCCCTAGCCCATCGCCCAGCAAGTATCTCGAACGGCAGTCAACCCCCTCCAGCAAGCCAGGCTGGAGCATCTCGGCAAAGCAGTCAGCTCAGTCCCTTTGAGGATGCGCAAGGCCGTCTCCCGGCTGGCTGGGAAAGGCGAGAGGACCATCTCGGCCGTACATACTATGTCGACCACAATACTAGGACTACGAGCTGGAATCGTCCGACTGCAAGTGGCGCTGCTGAGAACCAAAGAAACGCAGACGCAGTCACTCAGGTAGAGCGCCAGAGGCATCAGAACCGAACTCTTCCCGAGGACAGGACCGGAGCCAATTCGCCAACCCCCGCAGGTCAGCATTCACCTCCACAGAGCACAGGCAGCCCGAATGCCAACAGTGCTGGAGCAAGTGGCGGGCCAAACACAGCCATTCACACTGGCGCTACCAGCCCAGGCAGTGGCGAACTCCCACCTGGGTGGGAACAGAGATGGACCCCCGAAGGACGGCCATACTTTGTTGACCACAACACCCGCACAACAACATGGGTTGACCCTCGACGCCAACAGTATATTCGCATGTATGGCGGTCAAAACAATACAAATGGCCAAATCCAACAACAACCCGTTTCACAACTGGGACCCCTTCCCAGCGGGTGGGAGATGCGCCTTACCAACACAGCCCGAGTATACTTCGTTGACCATAACACAAAGACGACGACTTGGGATGACCCTCGACTGCCTTCTTCGCTGGATCAAAACGTGCCTCAGTACAAGCGAGACTTTAGACGAAAACTCATTTACTTCCGTTCTCAACCTGCGATGCGAATTCTTAGCGGTCAGTGTCATATCAAAGTCAGGAGATCCCATATTTTCGAAGATTCTTTCGCAGAGATTACCCGGCAGTCGGCCATGGATCTGAAGAAGCGTCTGATGATCAAATTCGACGGCGAGGATGGTCTCGATTACGGTGGTTTGTCTCGAGAATTCTTCTTCCTGCTCTCTCACGAGATGTTCAATCCCTTCTATTGCTTATTCGAGTACTCTGCTCACGACAATTACACCCTTCAAATCAACCCTCACTCGGGAATCAATCCCGAGCATCTCAATTACTTCAAATTCATCGGCCGTGTCGTTGGCCTCGCCATCTTCCACCGCAGATTCTTAGACGCCTTCTTCATTGGTGCATTATACAAGATGATTTTAGGCAAAGCTGTGGCTTTGCCAGATATGGAGGGTGTCGACGCTGACTTCCACCGTTCCCTTCAGTGGATGTTGGACAACGATATTTCGGGTGGTATTTTGGAACAGACCTTTTCTACCGAAGATGAAAGGTTCGGCGTTATGACAGTAGAGGACCTCATCCCTAACGGCAGAAACATTGAGGTCACAAACGAGAACAAGAAGGAGTACGTGGATCTTATGGTCAAGTGGCGCATTGAGAAGCGTATTGCGGAGCAATTCCAAGCCTTCAAGGAAGGTTTTCATGAGCTCATTCCTCAGGATCTCATTAACGTTTTTGATGAGCGTGAGCTGGAGCTCCTCATTGGCGGTATTGCAGAAATTGACGTCGACGACTGGAAGAAGCACACTGATTACCGTGGCTACACTGAGTCGGATGAAGTTGTCCAGAACTTCTGGCAGACCGTCCGCTCATGGGATGGAGAGCAGAAATCTCGTCTCCTGCAGTTTACCACGGGAACATCACGTATTCCTGTAAACGGTTTCAAGGATCTCCAGGGCAGTGACGGCCCAAGAAGGTTCACGATTGAGAAGGCGGGAGAAATTGGCAACTTGCCCAAGGCACATACTTGGTAAGTTCTTTACCTGGTTTCAAGCAGGCATAATCGGAATGGTCTAGCTAACACACATCCTTCACAGCTTCAACCGGCTTGACTTGCCTCCATACAAGACTCTCGACGCACTGCAGCAAAAGCTGACTATTGCCGTCGAGGAGACTATGGGCTTTGGGCAGGAATAGACAAACATTTTTTTCACATGGACAGATCAATATATCCCAACCTCTATGGGTGTGTTCCATGTTCATTTTTCTTACTATTCAGTACGGCGGAACCGCACTAAAACCGCATTACGTACCCTTCCACCTCCATAAAATGGTCCAGTTAGATCTGAATTTTGGGTATTGTAAGCTCTCTACTCAAGTAGTCACGGGTTGTGGGGCGGCGGTCATTCTTTCGTTTGCATTGTTACGCAGCAGGTATCTTTGGTTTGGCAAGCGATGTGCTTATGAGTTGTGAGAGAGGGCTGGGCTTGGGGCTGGCGTGTGAAGTCTTCTGAGGCCATGCTTTGATGCATGGCGAAGGCGGCGGAGCTCAGATTGTTTGAGACGAATGACGGGAAGTTGAGGTAGTATCCAAGCCAACATTGGGACAAGGCTTATATCATGGTTGTGGGAATCCCCAAGCTGGAGGACCCCAGCTTGCTAATACATGATAAACCACCTCAGTATCCCCCAACACAAGACGTATATAAATACACTCGATAGTTTGTTTTTCTTGTTATTATCTTGTTATTTCTATCACGAAATATAAGTTGAAAATCACTACCATGATGTGTGTGCATTTTACAGTTTCTTCCTCATTTGACCACTTAACGATGAATAAAAAGACATGGGATATGTACATATTTCATGGACAAAGGAAAGGTAAATCCGCCTCCAGCCCAAAAACAGTGGCAAAGTATTTCCGTCCAGCCCACCAATCTAAAAAGGTTCTGCCCCAAGAGCCCATTTTGTTCCGCCGTTCCCCTATTTCTCCACGCACAAGCCTTCCCCGTCTATCGCCTGTACCAGAGCCTGGAGATCTTGGTGTTTCGCATCTTGCGCTGGAGCTGGAAGATGCCGTACATGAGGGCCTCGCTGGTGGGCGGGCAGCCGGGGACGTAGATGTCGACGGGGACGACGCGGTCGCAGCCGCGGACGACGGCGTACGAGTAGTGGTAGTAGCCGCCGCCGTTTGCGCAGGAGCCCATGGAGACGACCCAGCGGGGGTCGGGCATCTGGTCGTAGACCTGGCGCAGGGCGGGGGCCATCTTGTTGGTGAGGGTGCCGGCGACGATCATGACATCGGACTGGCGGGGGGAGGCTCGGAAGATGATGCCGAGGCGGTCCTGGTCGTAGCGCGGGGTGGAGAGGTGCATCATCTCGACGGCGCAGCAGGCGAGACCGAAGGTCATGGGCCAGAGGGAGGATTGGCGGGCCCAGTTGGTGATTACGTCCAGGGAGGTGCTGTTTGGGAGATTCGGGTGGTTAGCATTCGAGGTTTATTGCGGATTGGGCAGGAGGGTGATGGAGCCGGGCAATGCCTTCGCGGGGGGGTGTGATTTCGAGGGATTGGTAACGTACAGAGCATATTGGATGACGCTCTTGGTCTTCTCCTCGCTGGGGAGAGGCACCTCCCGGCGGACCTTGGCGAAGCTGGTGCCGGCGGTATGGGGTGTGACGGAGCTGGCATGTCGGCGGGAGCTGGCGTTGATGGCGGCGGCAGCTCGGAAGGGAACCATTGCGGTAGTTGGCTTGACTGTGGAATTGGAAGAAGAGGGAGCGTCAGTACGAATTGCGTTGAGGGTATCCGAGGTTGGTGGACGTTGGGGGATTTCGCGCACCTCGCAGGGCCATTGAGACCGCTGACCGTGATGACTGGAGCATCTTGGGAGTTCGGCCGGATTTCCACCCAGATCGAAGGGGTATTATGGAGTGGAGAGGGGTGAGAGTGGTGAACGGGCTCTACACGGGCGGAGGGGTCGAATTGGGAGGTTGTCAAGAAGCTCGTTGACGTTTTCGAGGGCTCATTCGCCTCCTTCGGGAAGAGCACAAATGGAGGGATGGTGATTGGTCGATGAGGTATGGGGGCGAGGTTTAGCCGACGGGAGCCAGAAGTCAACGGCGGCAATTGATGACTAAGAAGCGTTCACAACGACATCTTGGTAATAGACAGGCCTTGAGAGGACTTGAGCCGGTAGCCTAGAAACAAAATAGCTTCAATATATTCGGAAATCCTATTCTGAGTTGTGCAAAAATCGATTCAGAGTTCCTAGCACTCAATTTCCAGGAAGTCCATATCATCCGCTCTCGGCCCTCCAAAGTTGGCACTCAAACAACTACTTACCCTATAGCATGTTTTGTGAACTACGATGATGCTTCGACTACAGCACAAGTATTCTGGTGGCAAACTTGCTTTTTACTGGTGATTGTGTGCGGTGGCTTGTGTGGTAATTTTGAGACGGGGATATATTGCTAATCACCCGATGTTGTGTCAGCTCATTGGCTCTTTAGTTTATATTCTGCCTCATCCTCGCGTTCTACTACAGCGAGGGCTTGTAGGTTAGACACACCCTGTTACGGCGCATACTCTTAAGATATCCAAGTCGACTCAAAGGTGATATTTGTTTTGTTTTTAATAATTATCAAAATGTTACCTATCCAAGAGGACCTTCCTGGCGGAATTGAGTGCGACACTAGGTCACGGTATATGCAATCGATGGTATAGCTAGAATTCAATGGGTTTGATGCTCCCATACAACTTCTTCGAGATCAATTGATCATGCCATGGATTAGCCAAAAAGTAAGTAGAATTGATGTCTTTTTTATCATATCGTGGCATGACGTATATAAATATTAGGCGGCATTAGCTCTCCAAGCCGAGCCACGCAGGAAATATATGCTGTGTATATCTGGAAGGGATTCAACGCTGTTATAATTGTAGGTCTGTTGGTTGTTGGCGGCTTGGTTGGCCCTTGAGATGTGCCGAAGACCCCTTGAAGAGACTCTGCCAGATGAAGGCCTCACTGAGGAGTAGTTCAATATCTTTTTCGGTCCACTCCTTCGTCGGGAGGCTCTGCAAGAACATCATAATCTCCTGGAAGTCCATTTCGACTAGCTTGGCGGACCACTTAACCAAGAAGGCTGCACAGACATAAAGGTGAAATTCAGAAAAGCCTTGCTCCTCAGCCTATCGAGAAAAAGTATTAGCGGCTCTGGATGCTAGGAATCCCATACAAGGTGCACTTACAAGGTATGTGTCCCACATGCGGATGGTGTTTCGGACACTGATTTCACGCATAAGCAAACAGTTCATCCAGCGGAAACTGAACTGGATAAACTCAACACCCTCGGACTCAAGATGTTTAGATAGTTTCTGGTCGATCCTGGCTGTCAAATCACGGAGGGATGCAACTTGACGCTGGATACCCGGTTGTGCGACAATGTAGTGATCCTGGATGCCATCGAGTAACTTTGTCAAGCACCAGAATGAGTCTGCCTCAACCGCGTCAAGGACTGATTTCGGAAGCTGGCCTGGGTCCATTCCCGACTCGATGTCCCCATCGGCTATGTAGAGACTCAAAAAAACCTGCCAAAACGGAGTAACGAGATCATTGATTCCTTGGACATATCCGCTTGCTGGGTGGCGAACTGCCCAAACGTAGAGGATTCGTTCCAGTGATCTTTGCGTAGCTTCGTAGCTGTACAACTCGATGTGGGGATTCGTTCTCGGAATATCAATGCTGATCTGGTGCCATATAGCCTCATCTAGGCCTCGTGTTCGAAGTCCGGGGGAAGTGACAGAGTTGGATCTTTCAAAAGCTTGGCGAACACCGTCTAGGTACTCTTTTCGTTTCCGCTCGAGTGTCGTTACTCTCCTCTCACCATTGGTGGGCAAGTAGCTCAGGAGTAGCTGCCATGTCATAGCACGTACTTCTTCAGGGACCCCCGACCAAGCCAAGGATCGAAGTTCGGGAAGCGATATGGAAGATGCTTGCAGAAGCTTTTTGAACTTATTAATTCTGGTGATTCGTGCACTGATGACGTCGGCTTCTTTAGAAGTGGCATTGTTGGAGATGGAGGGGTAGTTGATGAGATGCAAAGCATTTGCAGGATCTGGATAGAGCCGTTAGCCAGTTTGTTCGTATGAGTGATATGACTGCCCATGCTTAGGACCAACCTCGAAGGATATCTTTATATTGGGGTCGGAGGATTTTGCCTTCGCTTTTCTTCGGCATTGGGTACGATGGCGCTGGGCGTTCGACAGCGATATCTGCACTACCTGAATATCGTCGCTGGCTACCCAATGACTCCCCATATGACGGCCCTAGACTCATTGAATCTGTTTTGGCTTGCGTTGCAACCCGTCTCGTCCTTCTCTTCATGTTGGATAAGCTGGGAAGGCCAAATTCGTCTCCATCATCGTCATCATAGCCCAACATCTCGTCTCCATCTGCCATCCAATCATCGTTCGTGTTAGACAAGAAGTTGACATAGTTTTGGATGGGAGGAGAGCTAAGCCCCGTGGAAGCTCGTGGTGGGGTCTGGGTATCGTTGGCTCGGAATTTTGATGTCGAAGATGCCGAAGGAGGGGTAACTGGTCGAGAAGAGGATTTGGACAGGCTCCTGCGTGGGTGAAAAAGAAACGAGGTCAGCAGTTGTCGATTATCGGCTAGGAGCACCACAGGCGAACAGCACGACCGCAACCGGAGACGTACAATGAGTCGAACTTGAGCATATCTGCGTGAGAATACGCAGCGCCGACAACAAGACCTGCATCGCGACCCGATCCCGCAGGCTGCGTTACACTCCTCTTATGAGCTGGAAGGTTGTCTCGGGAAATGGGCGGTCTCCAGAAAGGCGATGACGGGCTGGCGACTTGTTAATGGTGGGAGGCGTGGCGGTGGGTTTGGTTCACATACTCAGATCTCTCTGGACGGAACAGAAGAAAACCAGCAGTTAGCGAACGACAAAGTCCTCACAGTGCCAGCGTGTTGGGCGACTTGAACATACCGACTTGAACCATCTCCTGTGACAGTGGGGTAGTGAGCATTGGCAGCCATTGGCGTCGACGCAAGTGCCGAAGACGAGGGAGGGGACACACTCACAGACTGAGGCGGCTTCTTGCTGCCGCTCCCCGAGGACGACCACATTGCTGGAGGGGGGAGGACTGATCAGTATATGAATGGGAGAAGGATGCAAATTCACATAGTGCCAAGGTTGGAGCTTGAGCGAGTCGAGGCTGGTGGACAAGGCCTCGGACTCGCGAAGAAGCGTCTGGAGGTTGGCTGGGTGGATTTGATGCTGGGATCGAAAGCCGGCCACAGAGCCACAGCGGCCCAAACCCACGAGCCCACTGATGAGCAGCGGTCTGCAGGGCGCTGGTTTGAGGTACAAAGCCCTGGACGTGCTTGACCCTGCCTGTAGGTAGGGAGTGCCGCGCTGCGCTAACCCAGGCTTGGAGCTGGCGGTGGCGGCGAGAGCGGAGCACACAAACGGCAGGTGCGTGGTCGGTGATTGGGCAGCGCGTCTTAGTCAGCGCGGTTCTCGCTTGCCCGCGAACAGAAGGATAGAGTCTGCTCCCCTCCTGTCAAGAAGCTGGTATTACCTTTCTTCGTGTCAAAACACAAACCTTAGGCCACTCGCATCCATCTGGCTTCTTCCTGCGAGATCTATCACTTGCCATCTGATCCATCTCCGTGATCTCCGTGCTTGGTGTATTTGCAATTTCCTACTAATAATCTCTTCATCGCCCGTTTAATAGACGGCACGGTCTCGGGTCGGCAGCGGAACACGACAGAGTCAGCAATCATGGCAGACGGCGAGAACTTCGAGGAGGATCTTTTCGCCGACCTGTATGTCAATCCATCGCCACGTCCTCGCTTGCGCGCGACGCAAACCCATTGACCTACAGCTAATCATCTTTTCATCCAGTTACGACGATAACGATGCCGCTAAGGCCCCGGCACCTGCAGCACCTGCAGCAGCGCCTGCTCCTCCTCCACAACCTGCCGCGCCCGTCGAGGAGGCTCCCCAGCCCGAATTCCATGATCAAACGAATTCGACCAGTGTTCAGCCCGTAGCTGTAGCGCCCACGACTAACTATGACCAAGATGATGATGACGACGATGATGTTGACTTTAATCTGGGCGGTGGTGGCTCCGTGGCACCCCAAAACGCCGCTCCTCATCAGGAGGACGCGCATTCTCCCCCTTATGGGTCTGTGCACAAAGCCAGCGCGAAAGAAGACGGGTAAGTAGGGTTTCCCATATGTTGATCTCGTGATTTCACATGTTCGGTGCTACATTCCATTTACCTCCGTTGGCCGGTGGCATCTACCTGGCTTTCGGCACAAATGGTTGCTCGTAACTGAAGGTAACAGCTGGTTGGGACGGTGAAATCTCACATGGCTGGGCGATCAAAGCCACACGCTGGGCTTATTCAAAGTGGCACGGCAAATTCAGGCCTGAGACTGAGATCGAGGTTTTATCATTTTATGGTTATGGAATCCAAGATCAGTCATGTCAGGACTTGGAAGCCAAAACGGCTTCGTCGTTGGAAGCAGCTCACCAACGCCCAGGGTGCATGAGGCAGAGGTTTTTCTTACCTGTGAGGGAAACGAATCAGCTTGTGGATGTGCCGAGTCAAGTAACATCCGACTCAGAGCCGACGGGAGGACACCTGTCTTCTATAGCCCTGGGATATCGGTCAGAAGAATTCTTGAGGAATGCCTGCAAGGATAGTAGCTCCTCGGGCGCATCGATAGCAAGACTACAGCGTATAGCACACGAAGCTAGTACCTAGCAAGAACCAGAGATACAGACAGAGTCAAGAGAACCAAGAGTATCAAGAGGACAGAAAAATATCAAGGAAAGGCGATAGCAACAGACGAAAAAGACAGAATATTTCGATCGCTGATAGGGTGTCTCACGCTCCGCCTTGACTTGATGCGCCTGTTCGGTCTGTGCATCTCAAATCCAGAGTCATCGCGGCCTAGACTGTCTGTTGCGACTATTCGACTATGAAAGACAGAAGGAAAGCCCGGCCGTATCTGAAGTCATGAAGAACCAAGATCCCGACAAACGGCCCAATCCAATCCTCTCAGCCAACTGCTATAGCACTTCCAGATACAGACCAGATGGGGTCTGCCCTCACCAGGTCTTCAGTATGTTGGTTAGGAGTAGACACGCCAAACTTGCGGCTGTACTTGACTCGCCGGAACAACTTGCACCAACATTATCGATTCGATTCGGATCGAGATCTGATGAGACATCAAACCAACAACATTGATGATCAGCCAACCAGCCTGCCACCATTCAAGCCAAGCCGACCAAACCAAACCGACACAGCTGTTACATTGGAACCAACCAGCCATGCCCATGAACTTCACCCCCCCCTCAATTGTTTTTGAACCTAGGCCCTGCTCCCTTGATTCTATCCCCAACTTGACTGTTAAGGCTGCTTGATATTTGTCACTTTCAATAACTTTGGCGCATGTATACTGATCATTGGGCGTAGGAAAATGTTTATTGGTGGATTGAACTGGGAGACAACAGACCGTAAGTCTCATGGATTGATTGCACTACAGGATGCGGAATTAATAATGGCATTAGAATCTTTAAGGGACTATTTTTCACAATTTGGAGAGGTAGTGGAGTGTACGGTGATGCGGGATAGCAGCACTGGGCGTTCGCGAGGTTTCGGTTTCCTTACTTTCAAGGACCCCAAGACAGTCAATATTGTCATGGTCAAGGAGCATTTCTTGGACAATAAGATCGTATGTATACCTGTATCCCGGCTCGTCGATTGCTTAATATATGGGAGGATTACTTCTAACGTCTTATCCACCTCGCTGTAGATTGATCCAAAGCGGGCCATTCCTCGGGATGAACAAGAAAAGACTAGCAAGATCTTCGTCGGAGGCGTGAGCCAGGAAACTACGGATCAAGAGTTCAGAGACTACTTCGCTCAGTTTGGACGGGTCGTGGACGCCACCCTGATGATGGATAAGGATACCGGACGACCTAGGGGCTTTGGCTTCGTAACCTTTGAGAGCGAGGCTGGCGTGGATGCCTGCATCAACGTGCCTCTCGAGATCCATGGCAAGCCTATCGAAGTCAAGAAGGCACAGCCTCGTGGCAACATGAGGGAAGAAGAGGAGGCATCCAAGCGGATGAAGTTCCAGAGGGGCAACGAACAACAGGGCCAGGGCGGCGGCATGGGCCAGGCCATGGGTGGTGCCAACAACGGAATGACTCCCCAGGTCATGGCACAGTACTTCCAGCGTATGCAGCAGTACTTTGCCATGATGCAGTCACAAATGGCCATGAGGGGGATGCCGATGAACCCAGCCATGATGCAGAACATGATGCAGATGCAACAGATGCAGCAGATGATGGGCCGCGGCGGGGGTCAGAACATGATGAACAACATGACTCCCCAGATGATGCAGCAGATGCAGGCAATGCAACAACAGATGATGCAGCAGCAGGCCGGCGGCCAAGGGGACGGTAGCCAGAGCGGCGGCTACGGCGGACAGAACAACCAGCAGCAGCAGCAGCACTTTGGGGGCGGCGGCGGCGGTGGCAGACGTGGTGGCCGTGGAGGAGGTTACGGAGGAGGTTACGGCGGCCACGGAGGAGGAGGAGGAGGATACGGAGGAGCAGCAGGCGGCGGCGGCGGAGCGCAGCAGTCATGGGAAGGCATGTACGACGACGTTCCTCAACGAGCGGACGGCCAGAACGCGCCCCCGGCCAACGCACCAACCGGACCCAAGAACGCGGGCAAGCCTGGCGCCAACTACCGGGGCGGCGGCCGTGGTGGAAACCGAGGCTTCCACCCGTACTCGCGATAGTAGAGAGCGATTAACAACAGGGCCGAAGACTGGGGTTTTCACGGATTTTAATGGGCTGCAGAGCGGGTTATCTCGTGTTGAGATGGAGGCGGGTGGTGGTATACGACTACCCCTTTGCTATTTTCTTCGTACTTTTTCCTTTTTCCATTACCGGTTTTTTTTAAAACACACGGAGCAATGTACTATACTATATATGCAGCGAGGAGGCAGCTCTTCCAATGTTGGTTTCTCAGGTCGAGAGACAACAGGGGGTGTTACTGGGTTTCCGAGACAAAGCTGGGGTGGGCAGAGGCAAACAGACTGGCAGGAACTCGCCAAAAGTTAAGGTTACGAGTGCGCGCATCTAGCTCGATAGATAGATGTGAATTCGCATCTTGGGAAGTTTGACCGATCTGACTAAATTTAGCCCCCCGTTCTATACTTGGAGATGGCAGACGCGGCTTGTCGCGTCAAAGTGTCTGTCTGCTCTGGCTTCAAACGTCCCTGGTCTGGTGGGCCGGCTTGAATAATACTTCTGCTTTTGAGAATAATAAGAAATCTCTTCTGCTGCTGCAGGTCGCCTTAAGCGATGACGATATTACATTATATAGCGCACATGGGCTCTGATTGCGATGCTGGTAATTAAAAATACACCAAATGCGAAACTCGAGGGATCGTCCCACAGGATCCCGTCACATCCTCTACCGCGCAGCTTCGGGACAATTGAGCAGATGCGGGCATGCGCCTGATCTCTGGAGCTACGTTCTTCCGGCGTACGAGGCAGCTGTGCCGTGTAATATTAATTAATCCCTTTGAACGAGGGCCTGGCTAGGCTTTCTTCGTGAGTGGGTTTTCGGGCATCCTTCTCTTGGTGTAATTCATGCGTCGCGCGGGCTCGTTCGTCTCGTCCGACGTCAGGCACCAGATTGTGGCCAGAGCTGAGCAGAGGCCGTCTTTCTTGTATGTTTCGTTTTCTTCCTTTTGGCTTCTAGCGACCAGACCCCTCTCCTCTGTCTTGATGTCATTTCGTCCCACGTCGCCGCGTTTTGAGGTCGCGGACGGCCGAGCCAGGGAGCTCTCAATGAGGAGCAAGCATGTAATAACTGGCTGCAGGCCCGCGGCTGTGCATCGTGAAACGCGAGTGGGCCGCCGATGAGGGCCAGCCTACCAGCGCCGTTGGGCTCGCTCTTGGCGGCTCCAGAGGGTCCAAGGTGTCATTGCTGCAGGGAGGTGGGTGCTTTTTTCGCTGGCTTGCATGAAGATGAGCCCCAGGGCCCTCGTATCTGGTCGTTGGTTGAGGTGGCACGTCAGTCTCGGTGTGCCACGATGCCAGGTGGACATGCGACGAACGGGAGCTGATCACCGCGACGGGCCTCGTTCTCCTCGCATGCTTTCCTGACTCTTGAGGCTCTTGGAGCTCGTCGGCCTGCATTCGTTGTGATTTGCAAATCAGTGGGCTCCTCCCCTCCCTCCACTCTCTCATCCTTGCTTGGATCCTCGTAGGGTGCTACAATAAGTGCGTAATTCAGCACCTCACCCGCGATCTGAAACGTGCAACCCCTGTCCTGCAACTCAATGGTGTTACCAGCAGGCCCAGCCCTGCAACCTCTATATCTGCTGTCTGACTGTGTGTTAACCAGTCCCACCACCCTTCCAATTTGCCTATGTCGCTGTCCGATCATTATTCATGTCATCCCCCCCTGTCTTGAGTTGCGCGCCTCGCAGCGTTGCGGTCAGGGCTACCTTGGCACCTGGTCCAAGTTTGGAAACTGGCGGTCCTATGCCAATCTCTCGTACCCGGCGGATGGGCTCTCGTGCCCAAGAAGCTGGTCTGTGACGGATGCTTCTGCTGGAATATAGCCCGGCCCCCCCTGCTTGCCTGCCCAGGACGATGCTATGTATGTCAAGGTCAGTGACCGAAGGCAGAGCGCACCCTGCCTCGTGAATGGCCACAACTCTGCAGATATTAGCCTCCCTCCCCCCTTCACCCCCGCGGGCTGCCGTCTCTTTTGCTTGGTTGACCTGCTTTTTGGCCCGCGTTTGCTTTTCTCGTCACTCACTTACCTAGTTCATTTCGTGTTGTTGAGCTGGCAGCTCCTCACTGGCTTGGACCTGTCCAAGCCCGCTCTCTTTTGCAAAATTTCTCACATTATTTTTTTCTGATAACCTTCATTTCGTACATGACGCTCTTTTGCCGCTTCGACAGCCAATAACCCGAAAGAACAATTTTTTAAAATTCCACTCAAGTAATATTTCCGAGAATGGGGACGTTCAGCGCCGGGACGGCAGGACGCCGGCCTTCCGCATCTACTACCCATTCCTCTTCGACTCATCGCCACGCGGGGAACAACTCAATGGCGATCGAAAGGTATGTTTCGGACGGGTGTTTGGTTGGGAATCTTTGACTGTGTGATGATGGGGGGATCGCTGATGTATAGTGGTGCAGTATCCCTGAGATTCCCGGAATCGACAGCTCAAACGGTTCAAGAAATGTAACGACGTCGTCGTCCAACAACCGCTCGGCCTTGAACTGGCCGTTCCGTGGCCACTCACTCTCCTCTGGCCAGCATTCCGCCCAGCACTCTGCTAAGCACTCAGCGCAGCACTCCGCCAAACTCTCACAGAACTCTTTCGCACGCTCGCACTCATCTTTTGGACGTCGCAACAGTGGCTGGATCAACTTGAGACCCGCCTCAAGTGTATTAGGGAGCGACATTATTCCTGACTATGTAGTCAACTTCCTCCGGGGCGAGACCCCAGAGTCGCTCGCCAAGAAGCGGGAGAAGGAGGAAGCCGGGAGGGCGGAGAACGAGGCGCATGTCCTCAGCGACCGGTTTAGTGGTTTCGATTTCTTCTCACAGTCGAGATCGGGTTCCCGGGCGGGAGATGTGGAAGGCATGCTGGCAGCCGGGGAGGGACAGCAAGGATTTGCAAGGAAGATGATGACTGGATGGCGAGCGGGAATTGTGCTCATCATCTTCCTTGGCCTTCTCATCCTCGTGGGCACCATCGTGTGCTTGGTGCTCGCGGTCATCAACAACTTTTTGACGGCCGAGGAAATGGCTGTAGTCACCAAGGACTGCGCTGAAATTGGCCGGATCGACCAAGGAGTCCAGGCCGTTGTTAACGTCTTGTCTCTGTTCTTTATCGCAAGCGCCACATATGTGTCGCAAGTTCTCGTCAGCCCGACCCGGGAGGAGGTGGATGCCGCTCACGCCAAGTTTAGTTGGTTCGATATTGGTATCCCGACACTGAAGAACTTTGGCGGCATCTCTACTCTCCGCACGGTGCTCGCCCTCACAACCGTCTTCCTTGCCGTCGGCTCCCAAATAATGTAAGTTGTGCTTCGAGGAACGAACGGCAACTAATCGACCTTGTGTATATCTGCGAAACTTGGTTATGCTGACTCTGAGTTTGTAGCTATAATTCTGTCATCTTCACCGATATTGGAACGTCGAAGGCTAACGATGAAACTTGCTCTCTTATTCTCAATGGCCCCATTCTCGGGGCCCTTGCTGTTCTCAATCTTCTGTTTATTTTAGTATTGGCCTTGGCACTGGTCACAACCTCGGCCCATAACCCTCTTGTTACTTTGGGAGATGCTCTCAGTTCCTTCCTCGCGGATCCCGACTCGACGACCCAGGGCGCATGCCTCTTGTCCAAAGCCGACATCAAGGCAGGTTTGTGGGCGAACGGAGAGATCAAGTCCAAGTACTGGTTCAACGAGCCACACCGGTGGTATCAGACCCCGTCGCGAACGAGGTGGTTGATCTGGGCCGTCATCTGGTTGCTTTCTGCAGGCATGTCAGCGGCGATGCTCAGTGTGGTCATGGTGGACAACTCGAATGCCGCCTTCCAGGCCCTCGAGACTCCCACGAAGACGTACATCCTCTCCAAGGGAATCCCCTCGGCCGGCGTTGCGGTTCTGCTCGCCCTTCCGCATCTCATTCTCGCGGCCCTCTACTTCGCGACCAACGCCATGCTCAGCGTGCTCTACCTCTCACACGAGTTCGCCAAGTATGCCGAGGAGGCCATGGCGCTTCGAGTGTCTAGCTATCCGTTTGGTTTGCAGAGGGCCTCACTTTACATTACCCTTCCGCGACCCATTTCGTGGATCTTGTTCTTTGTATTCGCAGTCATGGGATTCATGCTGAGCCAGGCCTTCAACCTTGTCAAGGTTGATGGCGGCTATGTGCTTGGAATGAACCCACTGCCCACAGTTATTCTACTCGCCCTGGTAGCAGCCACTGGTCTCCTTGTCCTGGGCATGTCCCTCCGGCGGACCGACTTCCCACCGGCAGAGGGCGAGGAAAACAGGACGGCGAACCCCCTGATCCTGCCTGGAGGTTCCTGCTCGGCCGTGCTGAGTGCTCGATGCCACCGGGGGACGCGCGAAGGGTCAGGGATGGTGGCCCAGGTGTTGGGATGGGGAGTGATCCAGGAAAACTCGGATCCCAAGGTCGGACACGCAGCCCTGTCAGGCCTGCCAGTTGAGCCAATGAAGGTTGGCAAGGCATACGCCTAAATACAGATCTGGCAGCTGGCTTGCTGTTCTGTGTCTTGGGGTCAAATCTAATCTTGAAGAGTAGGGGCCCTTGCAACGTATTCATCTGGGCATTTATTGATTGCGGGATTGGGGAGTACTTGTGGAACTGGTGTTGGATAATACAATTCAAGTATTTTTGATTTCACTTGCGTTCTTTTTTTGATAATTTCTGTGGCATCGTTCCCACGGGAACGTGCCACTGGCTCATGGGGAGGTAATGTTTAACATGATTAAGACTTGCTTGATTGGTATTGGAGGACTTGGAGGCAGAATTCTTTGATCCTCGAATCAGAGACGACAAGAGGAGGAGAGAAAAGTTATATATCTTGGATAACGGGGCGCCCACAAAGTGTTCTCGGATATAGCAGTGCTGTCGAATTGAAAATGAGATTTGATTACCCAAGGAAGCTGGATCAAGTCAGAAAGTGTGTGCTGGAAGCTGGTTGGTGGCCTGTCGCTGTCGGGATAATTCGAGGCAACTACCGGCGGCATGGCTTGCAGGAACGGCTCCGCAATCGGGCAAGAACGGCTGTCTGTATTTTAAAGCTGGATGTCATTCGGGGGAGTTCCGCTGTGATCGCCGGCGTGACAGCAGACAAGGATCACAGCCACTGCAGTGCGCAGCCAGAAGGCGATGGAGGCAGCTAGCTTACAAGACGAGGCGAGTGAGTCAGGCAGTCAGGGTCCATTCCGAGCTCCAGTGGCAGCGGAAAGATGAAGCCAACGATGGGATGTTCCTGATGGGGGAAATCAGGCCACTTGAGAGGTCTCGGGTTCCACCGCCCGAGCCCAAGCGAGCGCCAGATGCTTACCATGGACGGGCGGTGATTGGCCGAGGGGCTGATCACGTCGTTTTGCTCCGTAGCATCGTCAGGACTTATCTGTATCTGGGCGATGGCCTCTGTGCTGGCGGGGCCGCACGAGCGGTGCTGTGAGCGAGGGTGTGTGTGTGTGGACGGCGAGGAAACTGAAGATCAGGCCATTTTGTCCTTCTGGGCCGTTCGCAGGGCACATGATGGGCCTGGCCCTGCCTGGGATGGGGATGGGGATCTGGGAGGAGCACCGCTGCTGCTAGGCTGGTCCTGCCTTCTGGAGCAGGTGCAGCTCAGCGCGGTACGTACCAGCGACCAACGAGGAAGGGTCTACCGAGAGGAGCAGCAAGAGCAGCCAGAGCACTTGCAAAGTCACGGCAGGAACCTACCAGCACCTTCCCTGGGAAATGGAAGAATGAGGTCATGGATGCACTAACACAGTAGGTAGTGACCAAGGCTGCGGAATAGCCGCTTAGTCGGTTGGTTACTGGCAAACTTCTAGGCACCACTGGCCATCTGTTGTTGTTTGGGCAGCAGGGGGTGGTTTGGGTGGTTTGGTGTTGGGGAGGGGCAGGGGGGACGGTGTGGGCTGTGGAAATCGGAAATACCCAGTCAGAAATTCTTGCACAGTCGTAATCGTACTTGATTAAGGTACCCAAGTACTAGCTAAGGTGCTCGGGAGCCAGATTGTATTAATAGCTTCGAGATCCCGCTGCCTTCTTTCTTTTTCCTTTCTTTGAACGTTCTGATTACCTCCCCATTGTCTGTCGATTACTTATTTGGGCTTACACACTCACCACTGCCTTATTAGCGTCTGACAAATTCACCGCGACGACTTACATACGCTAAACCCCACGCGAGCCAGAGCGATCACCTCATTCTGCATTGAAGCGCCAGAAAGGCCAGAAGCAAAAAAAAGTCTAATAAAAAAGGGGACAGAGTTTTTAGGAGACTTGTATAAATACATATACGAGCGAAAGATTCAATAGACCTCACCAAGAGCAAAGTCGACGGATCTGCACACTAGAGAATCGAGAACACGCACTCACTCTCACTCTCACCCTCACTCTCACACCTCCATACACACACACATACAACCATGGCCCCTACATACACCATGTCGGCACACCTGTGCAAGCAGATCTGCTCCTCTTGGCGGCAAACCCGCCAGCCCACAGATGGCTCAGCACTCCCCTCCCACCGCTCGCTGTCCCCCGACAGCAGTATGAAGCCCCTGAGCGACCAGCGCAGGCGGAGTAGCAGCAGCAGCACCACTAGCAGCAGCTTCCTCTCAAGTCAACTGTCCCGACTCACGTCCAACGACCGATAAGCGTGCTGATGCATAAATACGGCCACCCTCAGCTCCCCTCCTGCAGACAGCATGATTGAGGACTGGATGGGCTACACGATTTTGATTTCTCTATCGCCGACATTTTATAATCCTATTTACCGCCTCGCTGTGGATACCATTTCGGTCTACATCACCAACACACACACCACTTATACGTGTGCCCGCATCTCTCTAGCCTGGGAACTTTTCTGTGCGCAAACCACACTGACAGCGATTATTGCACTTTCTCATCTACGCACTCATACGCTTTCCACGATCTCATTCTGTCATCTTTTTGTTACTCGGTACAAGGAGGGACCCTGTCCCTTTCTCAATGATCTCAACGCCAGGAAGACTTTCCACAGGTCTTGGGGGGGAGGCTAGGCCATGATATTTGTCGATATGGTTTAACTAGTCATTGTTTCTTGTTTTCTTTTCCCGCATTAGGTTCACTGACCGTGGATACTTCCATTTGGAGTTAGGGGAAATCTTACTGTCTGCCTTGCGTGTTTGTTTGGTATTGATACTCCCCCAATGTTGTTGGTTTTCTGCAATGAATTTCGAACGCAAGAATACTCGAAGCACACATATATATACATAGATATATATTCTGAGATTCTGCGATAAATATAATTTTGCAAGACCCATACTCAATATTTTGACGTGATACCCAGCGTGTATAAATTAATGGTCCCTTGCCCGTGGATTGCAATTGCACCTTGGTAGGTATGTCATCATGAACGCCAAGGATGAAGACAGCCAGTGGATGAAGACCCTTGAGCATTCAATACTTCACTATCTTCGAGTCTGCGATGAGCATTGTCAAATTATTGAGTCGAATGCTAGGCATATGAGAGGCAAACACTGAATTTTGTCAATTCATATGGCTTCCTACCAGGTGCCACCGAAGTCTTCTGGTCATCTTAGAAAGATAGCCTCTCCGCCCAACAGGGTGACCAACGGCCAGCATCTCGCCCGATGGTTGGCTGTTGGCTGTGTCACTGCCGTCGCCCCTGCGGATCATTCGTTGCAGCTCGCCGAATCAGCTGGTGATGCGGCCGATGGACATACCTCCGGTCACCGGAGCCCCCGGTCGTAAACCATACCGGACTGTCCCCGCATTTCCGACCGAGATGGAGGGACATGCAAGAAGGAGTGAAAATAAAAGGCGACGGTGACTTACCGCCGGCCACACACATCCCATCTTCGTGGGCGAGCGGGACGGCGCGGGCAGGCCGCCCATCCCAACACCCCATGCAGCTCTAAATCAGACGAGGGCGCGCGGGGACCCGATGAGGGATGGATGGCTGATCAATGGCAATTCCACTCGATGCGGGTGTGGTGGCCCGACGCAGAGCTATGTCACATAACCTATCTTCGAAAGCATCGCTGCGACGTTTTTGAGATAGGCTTGTTGGTGGCCCTATTTCTGGCCCTCCTCCCCCCCCGCCACCCGCGATGCGCCTGACTCTTCTTTTATCCTTTTATTTTTCTTTTGTTTCTACTTAATGGAGCTTGTTTCGATTTAAATCTCGTCTTCTCAAACTTGTGCCTGCCGCCGTGGTCGTCGTTGTAGGCATAAGGTAGGGTTTTCCTCAACACCTCCATGTCCTCCCCCCCCGTCAAGAGAAGAAAAATCGGAGACGTGAGTGATCTGCTTCCCTCAGTAGCTTTTATTTCTCTATTCTGATTCTCACTCCGATCTGGGGGACCGAGAGAAGACTACTTTTGTCTGAAAATTACCAATACTATACTATACTATATCTTTGTATTTGCTTTTGCTCGCCATGCATGCCCGCCGCCAGAAGCTGACCTTCAGACTCTCTCCAGCCAGATCGGCCTCAACAACCCAGGAGCAGCAACCAGATCCAGGAGCAAGCGTTCGAGAGGTCCTACCAGATCCAGCGGTTCCTCTTCAACGACCCCGACAACGACTCGACCACCTGGGCCATCATCGAGGGCCGCAGGCAGGAGCCCAAGTTCATAGACTCCCAGACCACGGCCTCGCCCCCGGGGTCCTGCGAGGACGACTCATCCGCCGCCGGCGCAGACGACAGCCTCACCACCTCCGTCTCCTTCCACCAGAAGCGCTCCAAGGCGAGGCTGGCCGAGAGCAGCGCCAGGTTCGAGGGGCCCCATGCTGAGTGAGCTCGCCGTCTGAGCAAACAACCACTTCACATCTGGATTTTTAAAATCCAAAACCTATCCTTTCTTCCTTTCGATGGTTCGTTCCCAGCCTACCCAAGGCGGATCAGCGGTGGATGGCGGATTAAGGGCCTCGGAGAAGTTCTGCTGTCCCTTTAGGGTCAGAGCCACCAGGAATAACTTGTCATACCCAGACTCAGAGCCCTGCAAGGAGGGCAAGCAGTTCCCCAACATATCGAAACTCAGGTTCGTACAAACCCGCAGTCTCCAAGATCTCATCTTGAAGATATCCCCATCCTTCAATTAGAAAGACCCTCGCCTCTCTAACACCTCCGTGTACCAGAGAACATCTTAAAAGGGTGCACTCCCCAGAGTACCGATGCAGCGACTGCAACCACAAGTTCTCCCAGGTCTCCGTCGCGGAGCTGCAGGACCTCCGCGCCTCCCACCGGCCCAAGTGCAGCCACGCCGGCCGCACCCCCCTGCCCGGCTTCGACATGACCGCCGAGCAGTGGGAGAAGTGCAAGAACTGGAGCCAGAACCGGGGCGTCGACCGCGGCTCCAGGAACGGCCTCTCGGAGCGCAAGCCCGCCTGGTCCTGGCGCCGCATCTACAACAGCCTCTTCCCCGCCGACCGCATCGCCGTCGGCCAGGATCCCTGTGCGTTCAAGCCCATTGGTCCCAGGGCGCACCAGCTGCCGAGGGCGCAGCCGAGGGGGCCAACGAAGGGGGCTGGGCCCGCGCCGACCATGACGCCGTCCGAGTTCGTGTCCGTGTTCTCGCTGGACTTCAAGGCTTCCAACGGTAGCGAGGACCCCGCGTTTGGCGATCCATGGCCGTCGTCGAACCCACAGGGCCCCAGTTCGATCACGCCGTCGTCGACGTCCGGGACCACGGAGACGGTGGAGTCGGCCCCGAGCCAGTCCGAGATACCGGCTCGTCAGCCAGTGACGATATTGGATGACTACATGGACAGCGCGTGGGCAGATTATAATCCAAACATGGATGCCAACATGGATGCTTTCCTTGGTGAATACATCCCCGGTATGCAGCCCTCATTCGGACAAATTGACGAGCGGATGGATGGCTCCGGGACCTGATATCTGTTGACGACCAACGAATAATTTCACTGTCCATATCCCTTTTTGGTTTCTTTTGTACTCCTTGCCTTCTTCTGTATTTCATAAGCATACCTGGGTTGGGGCGAAATTGTATCCTCACGACGGAATGAGACATGCTGCATCTAGAGTGCTTTGACGAAGTTTATGATTATGACGGCCGCTCATGTCTTTTCGCTTCAGTTCAATATAAAGGAGGGTTCTTAGTGCTAAACAAGTTCCTTCTCTGATTCATATCTATGTTCATGTTACTAAGAAAAACATCGCATATGCTATCATGTGTATCGTTATCCGTTGGTCCAGTCAAGTTTAAGTTCCTCCTCCTCTCTTACATTGCCGAGGCAGCTAGAGTGTTAACTGTAGGAGCTGCAGACGGTTTCCTGCTGTGCCTCGGTTCATCTTCTCCGCTGCCCTCAGGCGAGTCCTCCACAGCAGCGCTGCCCTGGATTCGGCGCTTGGCCTCCTTCTTCTCTGCATCTGTAATCTCCTGCTCGTCCTTGCGCATATCTGGAGTCCATTGTGGCTCATCAGGAGAATGGCCAACTGACATGCCAACACGAACCTAATTATACAGTTAGCAACTAATGGATCCCTGAGTGAAGTTTCGATGGGTCATGTTCTACTTACCAAAGTCTCAAGGGCACTGCTGGAATTATCAACCAGATCATCGTCGTACAACATCTTGCCAGGCTCAAATAGCAGTAGAATCGTACTGCCTCCGAATTTGAAGTAGCCAAGTTCGTCTGCACGCTTCACTTGTTGGCCGGCTGTAGCTGTGATGACAGTGCTACCCACCATCATAGCTCCCACGCAGATCACCATTACTCTTCCATGCTGCTCGCTATCAATAGGGACGAGAACACGGACATTCTCACCATAGACATCGAGCGCCGAGCGAATGGCCATTGGGTTCACTGTATAGTATTCACCCTCAATTGTTCTGGGCTCGCCCATTATTCCATCTACCGGCATGTGGAAGCGGTGATAATCTTGAGGGGCGAGACGGAAAATACCCAGGGATCCGCCATCAAAACGAGAGACATCCTCGGGATAGGCATCACCAAGGAGTCTCTTCATGTTGAATTCACGTCCTTTGACCCACACGCTGGTCGCTTGCGATATTTCATTGAAGACCACACTGCGGCAGTCTGCAGGTGACACGATGATCTTTGAATTGTCAGGGGCAGAGCAGGGCCGAGCACCGGGCTTCAGAGCCCGGTAGAAAAATTCGTTGAAGTTGTTGAACTCGTTAAGAGGTAGGAGCACCTCCTCCATATTGAGCCTGTGAAACTCAATGAACTTTTCAATTTCTTCTCTAGATGCTGGATCATCGAATTTCTTGCCCTGCTTGATGCTGAGGTTCTTGAGCATTTTTCGGACTAGAATGTCAATGGTTAGTTACCGGGCTGCTGAACAATGTATCCTGCCGTGGTGGTACCTACTTCGCTTGTTCTCCATTTCACGCGACTTCAAGCCCTTGTACAACATTCTAATACCCAGTCTAACGTAGACGCTCATCTTTTCTTCATTAATTTGACCTGTGATTCGGTCTTGAACAAGAATGTTGGCCGAATTGGCTCCAAGCTTGTAGCCACCGTATGAGATCTTCGTGATGACTTTAGAGTACCACTTGCGCTGGGCCTGGCTGGCTGTGACAAAGCCGGACACCAGAACATTGTTGACTTGTCGCCAATCTTGACTAGCACATGTGGCGATGTGAGTAATAATGTCTGTATCGCTGCGCTTATTGAGACGGGGCTGGTGACAGATGGGGCATTCTCGAATCTCGACAACGTGTTCCTCATCGTTGAGGTCATCCCGATCCGGGCTGTCGCTCTCATCCCCAGCGATCCGGAAATCAGAAGACGGAGCATTCAATGTGGGTTCTGATGCCTCGATGGAGATCTGCGGGGTTGAGGTACCAGAGGCGGAGGCACTACCTGTATCACCAGACCTGCCGAGCAAATTCAGACTCTTCATATCAGGCACCATCTTCTTGAGTTTGTCTCCTACACTCTTCGGTTTGCTTTTGGCTTCAAGCTGCTCCTCAAGGCAGATTACAGCTTCATCCATTGTCAACTCCCACTCTTCCTCATCACCATGAGGGAATCGTTGGAAGAAACCATCGATGGTCGTCTCCCTCAGCGTTGAGCCAATGCTGTCCAACATGGTTGTCATCTCGACCCGGCTGATGCGCCCGCTTCTATCAGTGTCGTATTGTCGCAGGAGAGCACGCCAGAACTGCTGTCGGAGCGCGGGATAAGCCATGTATTTAGCCCGCAGATAAATAACCGGGCTATGCTTGGCCTCCCACTTTTCCAAGTTCTTCAGAACTAGCGGAATTTCCAGATCAATGAAGTCAGGGTCTATCTCGTCTGCGTCTGACATTGGGTCTGCCAGCTCGTTTGTGGGAGTCGAAAGGCCGTCGGCAGGTGGTGCTAGGAGAGTCCCACTGGCATTTCCACTACCACTTCCGCTGCCATTACCGTTGCCGTTGCCGTTGCCACGACCAGCAGCAGCGTCTCCGGCGACTGATGGAGCTACGGAACTCGCGCTAGACGCATTCTTGGATAATCCGGGGCGGATTATCTTGCTCAGACTTGACGTGGAGGAGGTCCTTGACAGACCCAGGCGCTTGAGACGGCTCTTGCTTGATGATCTCTGTTTGCTCAGAGCAGAAGGTTCGCGTAGCTCATATAGGCCAGTCTCAAGGTCCGCCTTAGGAGCCTTCTCAATGATCTCTTGGATCGGGAGAGTGCAAGAGGCCACAAAGTCATTGCCCGAGTATTTGTCATGGTCAATAACGGTAAAGGCAAAGGAATAGGTCTTCTCATGAGGCTGAACCTGGAAGATCATCTTCTCGTTGTATATAGGGTTGAGATTGTGCCGAATGCGTTTGGTACGATAGGTCTTCTTGCCCAAAGAGGCCACAACAAATGGGTCCATGTCAAAGCTCGTGCGAGTTAGGTTGGACTCGGGAGGCAGATCTGTGATGCGGCAGATTTCAAGGAATATAATACCCATGACATCAGTATCGCCGTTGGTGAAGGCGTAAGGGTTTTGCTTCCTTTTTCGAAGTCCCTTAATTCGAAGGCGACGCTTGCGCTTATCCTCGGTGTCGCCGCCAATATCACTCTCCTCTGCGTCTAATTCCAGGTCATCCTCTTCATCATCACTAGTTCCGCCTCTGGAGGAAGAAGCCGGCACCGATCTGGGAACGATGGTCGGCGCGAGAACAGGGGTCCTGCTAGGAGTAATGTTTCGGGACGAATCTAGCCCAGGGCCTGGGGCGGATCTGGCCAAGTTGCCCAGCTTGTCGAGAATCTGGCGTGGGGTCGCATTCTTGCTGGATGTGTCGATCAGTGTAAACTGGAGCTGCAACTCGCCCGAGACGTAACCCGTCTTCTTGCCTGGGCGTTTACTCCGGAGAGGGTACCACTTTGGCTCTTGGGCAGACCTCTGGTTGGCAAAAATCTCCTCGAGAGCGAGATCGAATTCGCCCATATAGTCCTTGCCGAAGCGGTCCTTGTCCCAGCAGACCACATCGAGCAGGAGGTTCTGGTAGGAGGTGATGGGGATCTCTTCAATGGTGTTCCAATCGGGGTTGAGAGTTTTAGGGACTGTGTGCGTTTGGATTCGTGAATCGCCGCAAGTGAGGACGAGGTACTGCAGTGACACGCATTATTGTTAGCTTGCGAAACACTCGGTGCTCATTGGAAGCATAATGGATCGGGGGAGTAGAGCTGGCTAGGTTTCGATAGCTTAGACTTACGGGATCCGAGGTTCCTGACCGATCTTTGGCTGCCAAGTTCCGGCCCTGGAAAAAAGAAGTGTTAGCGTCCCAGGTCTCAACATTGATACAGCGGCGTTCGAGATATGCGAAGAAGCGGCTGGCCCCGGTGCATTGCTAGACATTTTCAGGGGCCACATTGCTAGGCAGGTGATTCTCTGGGAGTTGGCGAAGCTCTAGAGAGCTTCTAGGAGAGCGGAAACATCGTGGACTCAGCGATGCGGGATAGCTGTGTGGGAGAGGGGCGCCAACGGCGGGATTCAGAGGTAGGGCAAGGTGTGATTGTTTTTAGCATACCCTCATAATAACGACCTTGAGAACAAGGCCGCTGGGCGAGTCAGGCCCAGCCTTTGGTACGTCGACCTTGGAAGCCATGATTTTGTTTGTCGTCGGACTGGAGGCTGGGAGTGACGAGGAGGAAGGGGAGTAATAAGAGGGAAGAAGGCGGTTTGGAACGATGCGGACCATGGTGACGAAATCCCTGCCCCAAACAGGCGAAGGGGCCACCAGCCAGCTGAGCTGGACCCCAGGCCGTGGGCAGAGGGCAGACGAAGCCACAGGCGGTGATCCCCTGCGACCGCGCAGCTACAGCAGCTACCTACCTAAGACGGGCGTTGGCGCTGGGAGCTTGGCGTACAGGCCAGTGGGGAAGAAGGGGGGGGATAGCCGCCTGCCGTTGGTCGCTGTGGGGTCGGGACTGATCACTGACGATGATGGTTGTGCGCGCGGATCGATCGATGCTTCCAATGGATTGGAGGGCGGGTCCTACTGTTCCAAGCAAGGCTGCTAAGAAAAAGGTACTTCCAGCTGCACAAAGGATGGCTGACTGGGATTCTTGATGGCTGCTGCAACGGGCGATCAATGTCCCTGGCACACCCACCCGAAGTGCAAATACCTGGTCAGCATCCGTGTCAGCGCGCAACCATGGCACCTCAGTTCAGCTCAGGCCTGGAGCTAGTAGATGGGAGACGGCCAATGCCAGTGGGCGATTGCTGGGCTGCATGATCGTACCGGTGTAAGAAGCAAGCTGGTTGACTTTGGAGCAGACACTAGCGTAACGAGTCCACCACTCGGACTGTTGAACATAAAATTCGGTAAATAAATATAAATAAATAAAAGGCTGAGGAAATGAGCAGATGCGGTGGTGATTTCCGCTCAATCACACGTACATGGGTCCGTTATTTTTGGTTCGGCCGGTTTCGTGCCTATTTCTCCGTGGCAGGAGTCGACGGATGGATGGTTACAGCAGCACGCAGGACATAATAGGCTCAGAGATGCAGAGTGTCGTGTGACATGGCCATGCAAAGACCAGGCTGGATAGTGCTTCAATTGAGGTCGAGGAAGATTGGGAGAAAGGTGCAGGAAGCTGGGACAGAGGCAGCATCCAGAAATAAGACGAGATAATCACATCAAGGAGAAGGGCAAGGGGATCAGGTTTTGAGCGCGGCCAGGAGAGAGGCGTCTTCCAGTTTTTGAAGTATCCATTCCTCAGCCCCCCCAAGAGGCATTGGCCGTGCTCTCGGTCTAATTCAGTGCTAGCCATAAGCATGGGCCGCTTCAGCGATGGAGATGTACTTCAATGGACGGGGACTAGAATGCATCGTATTCGTGGACAGCATGCGATAATAGGCTATAGCGGCAAGCGGTCTCAAACAGCCCGGCCGACCTGTACACCGCAGCCAAGCGATTCGGTTGATGCCACCCGCTGGGCATGGGGACAAACGAGGGGTTGGCGGTCAATGTGCCCCTTTCCAGCAGGGCTGTGGTTGATGGGATGGCGTAGGGCCAGCTGCCAATCAAAGGAGGCTACCTCTGCTGTCCTGCCTTGTCATCCATGTCTCATCTCTCGAACTTCTGACGGAACAGCTGATAACTGAGCAAGACTGATTGAGGCGAGAGCCTCGCCAAGCGGAGGCCTGAGCTGAGAGAGAACCGGGGCGCTGTACCTAGGCAATGGAATGGAAATTCCAAGGCAGGCAAGTGAGCTGAATGGAAGGGACCAACAGGCAGGGCCGAAAGAAGCCTTGTGGTGTTGTGCTTTTACCTCAGGCTGGGGCACAGGGACTCCAATTGGAAGCCAAACGACGCGAGCTGCCGGTACCAGTACTTGGGCCTCCAGCCCAACCCCAACATCAGCGTGCGGCAGAGCCCTAATGCCGTACCGAGTGCATTAGCAGCCCGCCAACCCGCCTGGAGCACGGCACCCTCATCCGAAGCCCAGGCGCACAATAGCCATGACCAACAATACCTAGCGTCTGCCTCATTACCTGCAACTGTCACCGGTAGGTACATAGTTCGCAATAATCAGTCGTGCCTCTCCTTAACAGCCAATCAACTGATTCTCGTCTATTTGATTTTCAGACGAAGACGGATTTCCAGGATAGGTTGTCGGAGCATTTCGCCAATGATGGTGAGATGCCTCAAAATGAGGTGGCTGTCACGGCATAAGCATTGTCATAATCATGCTTGGCCAACATCAAAGTCCATCCCGGTCAAGTACCTTTCATACGTACATACTACCCCGGGGATCTGCCACCAGCTTTACCAGGCTCTATTTTACTCTGCATCTGCACCCACCTACCCTTACGTTGGCTCAGGTCTTGTGCTTTGCCGCCGCCAGGAATGTCAGCATCCAAGGTACCGTCAGAAAAGAAATAAGGAAATGACAAAGGGGGGAGTAGAAACCAACAGCCAAGTCCCAGCCGATATCGACCAACGTTATCTCCGTGGGCCTACTGGGCCATGCCAAGTCGAGATTCGTATGTACCTGCTCCATGTAGACGTCTCATCCGTCACGAATGGCGTCCGGGCCATCCGTAACGTCCTGGGCCAACAATACTTCTGTAACTTTTATCCGCAGTGGAACAATCCCGTTCTGGCTCTGCCGTCATCGATCGTGAGGACGAGGTACCCTCATTTAGTGCAACGCTAGGTAGAAACAAGATGCCATCCTGCCAAGTGTCGGAAAGTTCCTGAGCAGCGCTGCTTTAAGATTGAGCTTTCTTCCTGCTTTCCCCATGATGCTGGAATGATTGCTGACTCAGCTATCCTGTGCGCGGGTTAGCTGAGTCAGCATTGATCAACGTATGGTGAGACGCTTTCAAGTGTGGTGTCTGCAAGACATCCGTGATTCGAAGCCAGAGAGGATCAGTTCTCCTGCATTGCTTTGTACACGAGAATAGTACGGGAATTTGTGAGCTGTAGACTCTAAATTGGCTTTCACATTTAAATTCCTTCCACCGACTTTACCCCTTCTATATTGCCTGACGCCCTAAATGCTTCCCTCCCATCGAACCTGGCCATCTACTCTTCCAAGAGACAGATGTTGCAGTCTCTTTATTATACCATCAAGGGAGAATCTGACACCAGTGAAGTAGGCCAAGTCCAAAGTGAATACTTGCAGCTCTAAGACCAGGTACATGTTTTCGGATGTCAAGTTAAAAAATCAGCTCTCTTCCTCTTTTGTCTCCTGCACTGCGAGCGAAGTTTGTACCGATTCGGACCAGAACTTGATTATCCCGCGCATTTCAGAACTGTTCCACCTCTGACTTTCATTTTTTTTGAGGCTCAGGACAGCTTTGGGTTGCAATCTCCACGTAGACTGCCGCTCGAGGTGGCTTGACGCCTTTGATTCTGTACTCTGTAGAAGCATAGTACAGCCGTGTCGGTGCTTGATAGGTGAGTACCGTATCTTCACCCAGTCGGCATTGACCTAGGGATCGTCGAGTCTGATTGTCATATGTGAGAATCATACCTTTGCAGAAGGTTTGGCTGCGAAATAGTTTCACTTCAACTACCCCTCTCAAGGGGGCTGTGGTCAGATGGGCGTCTCTGAATGGGGGACTATCTGGTGGAATCCTAGAATACGTATGGATAAGAGTCCCCGCAGGAGAGACCCCTGTACTGCAACATCCTATGGTAGGAATATGGACGTCTTCCTCTTCAGGGTGTTCATAGATGAGAGGAGGCCGGCCCTTGATTGATACAGTAATATCGAATACTTGTCCAGTATAGGATGGACCAATAACATAATTTCGAGAGCGTAAATGGACCTACTGGATCAGCCTCAATCTATCTGATTAAACATTTCTAGTTCTTACCAGAAAGCATGGGATTACATATAATCCATTCACGACTTGAAACCGAAGGCCTAAGGAGATGATTTTCTCACTCTTCCCCAGGGGAAGATAAAACCAAGTGTCATGGGCTTGGACTCCAGGTATTAGAGTAGTAAAGGTCTCAAACGCAAACGGACTTCTTGAGGTGTGCGGATAAATACTAGCTACCCCGCTGTGTGTGATAAAAAATGTAAGGCCATGGCATTGTTTTAGGCTGATAGTTGTGAAGCGTTTAATATGAGGTGGCTGAGAAAATCTTCGTGGTGGTTGAATACCAATCCAACGTAGTGGTGGAGTAGGAGAGTCCCATAGCTGTAGAGTTGGTATACCTGGAATATTTAATCGACCAAGACCAATCTATGTGTATATATATTAGCGAGATATTCCTAAACCGCAGGCATGAACTTACGTCAAATTGGACTTTGATATTGTGAACCTTCGTAGCTTGCCAAAATAGATAAAGAAAATGACGAGAATCTGTAGAGGATGCCCTTGGTTCTGGAGGTTCAGAAAAACGGCAGATCGCTTTAAGTCCTCGAGCATCAATGGTTAATTGGATTACGTTACGTTGTCGGCGGTTCGTCAGTCTCGGTTGGCCCCCCCCGATGCCAACTTTCTATCTCGACAAGCGGAAGAATTATCGATGAGTTTTGGGCCAGTTCCAGCTCCTTTATCAGCTTTATACAAGATGCATAACGCCATAATGAGAAATGGGGACCGCAGAGCTGAACAAACATTGCTTTTTTATCTCATTTGGTAGAGTTTTTAGGAGGGGTATCTGGCAGACGTTGCTTGCTATTCGGGTAAAATCATCAACAGGGTCCTCTGAAGTTTGTAAAAGTGGTGGGGAATAACGCCAAGGATGTCTCCAAGTGGCCGCAACCCAGAATCTTCGAAGAGCGCCGTCAGTCAACAACCCCTTTACAAGATTGAAGCAGTCTGTATGAAATGTTATGGTTTCGCTCGTAAGTGGGCATTGGTCGCAGTCTGAAATCCGGCAGAAAATAATATGCCTGGTCGGCTGATCACAATGGTCGTGGTCTGTGAAGACCCCAGCATCAAGGATGATGCAGGTTTCACTATAATATGTTACTGTGTTAACTTAGCAGCTGATCTTTATGAGGAATTCGAAATTGCTATACAAGCAGTTATCTTTTCATCAACCTGGAACGACCCCCCGCAAGCGCCACACTGATGGTGTATGTGAATGTGAGGCAAACTCATGGCCACTTTCTCAATGAATGTGAGGCTTTGGCTGGTATCTTTGACGGCCTCCCGGTGGTTGCAGCACAACGTGATCACTTCCAGGAGAAGAAAACAGGAAAGATACTAAGATCCAGTAGAGGTTTCCGAGATTGAACTATGACGCATCTTTGATAGGAGATGGTAGCTGCGTAGAATCCCAACCTGCACTTTGATGAGAGGAGTGATGCCTGAAATGTTGGTGGAGCACCGACAAATGAAAATGGCTGGATTGAAAAATGACAGGTCATCTAAGACACGACTATGGCTCAAGACTTCCGAGTATAATACCATTTCTGATGCTTCTGACGCACGTAGCATTGCATGTTTTTCGTTGGATATGTCACCACAATCCAATCTCTAGCGGGACCTTGATATCGCTTCTATGCCTCTTCTTATCCGTCTTCGCATAAGCATACACATGATGGCCGCTTGTTCTTCGTATCCTACCTAAACTTCAATTGCCCTGTCGTCAAATCCATCCGTAGAACGATCGCTGCTACTCTCGCCAGTCTCATGCTCAGACTTCTCAATATCAGCATGACTCTTACCTTAAGAATACCTGTTCCTCGACAGTTTCAATGTCTGCCGATTCGGCCTTTGTTTTTGTTTTCTCCCTCTCACAGAAGCAAACCATAAAAAGGGCATTGCGAGTATCATTCACTACTTCTATGGCAATAGCAATGCATCTTTGACCCCCATAGGCGGCGGGAGGTTGCCCTGGACTCATAACCTATCCAGCTTGTATATTTTAAGAACATATTACCACCTGAGCTTTATTTTTAGAGAAATCCCACTATCATAATAATAATATATAGCTGCAGCCATTTTACTTATATAATTTATATATAGCGTAGATACTTAGCTATTGAGTTAAGATATTCTGCTTAGCTAACTGAGTATATTACTGAGTAAGAGCGGCAAGGGCGCTAGGACTAAAATGGTCCAGCCACAACTCATTACGCAGGTCCAGAACAATTCTCTGGGCAATTGCTTCTGGCCACAGTCTTCCATTGACCGTTCTCTCGGCCTCTTGGTACCCTGCGCTGTCTCCATACGGGCCTTCTTCCCTCCGTCTTGCTTGCATGTGTCAGTCGATCTATCATGCGAGAGAGAGGCTGTGCGGGCCTGCGCGTACATACATTGTAATTAGGTACTTCGGGGACCGGACCACCAGATTTTGAGGACGCGTACCTGACCTCACATGCCACTTACATCTGAAGGGGGCTCAGCTGGTGCCCCTACAGAATCTATCGAAACCCTAACTGACGAGTCTGATACAAGACGCCAGCCTGACAAGAGAAAGCACAAAGCAAAAGGTCTGGCTGAGACGAGCTGACCTAGGCTGAAGCAGAGTTGGCCGCCACAAACCCCCCATCGTTTCACTTCTTCTTTCTCTCTCTCCCCGCAATTGTCCCAAAAGCCACAAGTTGGTACAAGATGATGGCTTCCAGCGACCCACAGATCTCTGACCTTCTTCTCGCCCGTTTCTCCAATAAACACTAGTACCGGTGGTCTAAGAATAGGTATATCGCCGATCAGCTCACCAACGCCATCATTCTGCTTTCATCCGATGCAGCGTCTCTTATCTGGCCCTCTCTCTGTTTACTTCTCGTTGCCCCCCTCCTCTCCCCTTTCAATGCCCGAATCCTCCGTGATGTGTGTCCACACACGCACACACCCTCCATATCCGTGCATGTATCATGTCTCGCTCCCATCCATTCCGCAGGCGCTGCTTTAGAGGCCGCTCTCTTGGCAGATGACGACGCCTAGAAGATCCGCGCTGGGCGTTCCCGTGCCCGCCTCCACAGGTTTCCGCCGCCCAATGACTTAGTATCATTGGCTGTGTCGTACTATGTATGTATAGCCTCAGAGCAATGCCGGATTCTCCGATGATCAGCCAAGACAAGGCAGACCCGCTGGCAAGACTTGGTGACGTTGATGACGACGACGTTGACGACAAGACACTGCCAAGCTTGAACAGCAGGAATTATTCTCTGTTCACGGCATCCAATGTATGTAAATTCTAGGTAAAGAAATGATCTCGATAATGGTAGAACAGAAAAATCAAGTTTCAAATAACGAGTTCTAAGAAAAAGAGAAACTAAGAAAAAGCAGAGCAAAACAAGCTGTCCAAAAAAAAAAAAAAAAAAATACAAACAAACAAGAGTAAAAAACAAAGCTGCGCTTCCCGCTTGCTAAACTCCTTTCCAAACCAAATGATGCCCAAAATATTACATCTATATCTCTCCTTCTCCATCATCCAATTCCTTCGTCTATGTCGTTCCATCTGTAAATCGTTCGTGAAATCGTACAAGAGAGAATATAAAAAAATATCCTCGATAAAAAGGCCTCCAAACCTATGCTGAAGGCTCCCCAAGCCTCCTCAGCACACTCACTGCATCAGAATACAGCATGCTTCGGTCCGCGAGGCAGTCCGGGCTCAGGATATCGCGAGCCAGGCAAACCACCCCACGGACACACCTCCTCTTCCGCCACCTGAGCAACTGCTCCGGCCGCCGCTGCGCTGCCTCCAGTATCCACCGAGCCGCCTCACTCCGCGATGCCTCGTTGAAAGCGGCTGTGCCCTCCCCCTCGTACACCCGGTGCTGATCACCCACCTCCCGCCCAAACGCCCAGCAGATGAGCGCACACACGTACACCCCCCAGTAGTCCGAGACGTCCCTCCAGCGTGCCCTGCCGCCCCGTGGCGGTGTACTGCTGTCCACTTCCGACGACGAGGATCCCGCCTCGCTGGTCCTCCGAGTCTTGGCTCTGATGCGGAGGAAGACCAGCAGGGCCCGTGCGGCCCACGACACGGCCACGGCTGCGCTCTCGGACTGGCACCACTTGTCTAGCGTCTGCTTGTGCTCTCTGAACTCGTTCGGCCCGGGGACCTTCCTGTTCAGCACCCAGCTGTTGCCGGATACCGAGAGGAGGGCATGGAGCGGCGTGAAGTGGATGGCCAGGTAGGCCTGGGCGACGCCGGACGCGGGGAACAGCTTTGCGAGGCGGGAGGCCGGGGACGATGGGGATGAGAAGGCCTCGCCCGCGTTGATCTCGCCTGAGCCCGCCAGCTGCGATGCGTACCCTGTCATGAGGATCGTGGCGTCAAAGCCGGACATGGATGCCACGTCCTGCGGCGTGAACTCGTCCGCCAGGCTGCGCCCGAGGGGGATGCCCAGGCTCGGGTCCGAGGCCACCAGCCCGCTCCACGACTCCCAGTCCGGGCACTCCCACAGCGGGTTGGTGTCGGTCGAGAAGGGCACCTGGTTCATCGGCAGCGAGGGGTGGTCGGGGCCCAGGGCTAGTATCGGCGGCTCTTTGAAGTAGGCAGAGGTGTGCACGTCGAGCATGAAGCAAGTGGCTAGCAATCGTCGTCGGGTTTCCGTCTCAACCCAGTCCTTCCATGATAATAGTTTGTTCCCGAGCACCGGGAGCGGTAGACTAAAGGTGTGATGTTTTTCCACAAGCTACGAATTGGGAGTCTTAGCATGGAGGCCAATATGCGGGGAGTGGCAGAACCCGGTCTGCGGGGATGGTAACATTCAGGGGGAAGGGAGGTCGGGATGTCATAAACGTACCATTTCGTATACTTTGCGGTAGTTCGAGGACGGCTTATAAGACTGCTTGTCCCGCCCCCTGAACCGTGCATAGTATTCGCAACAAACCACAGCCTGCATAATAGGTAATGACCAATGTTTTCCTTCCGTGAACTATATTCGTTTTAGTTTCGCCCATGGCCAAAGAGTGAAGGAATCATGTCCATCTGACTACGACGGAGATTGGCAGGGGGAGGCGCAACTCACAGTCCTCAATTCCTGGCATGCAAAAGCATGCAGCTCACTCCCAGCAATCCGATGTCCCCTGTCGTCAAGAAATTGCGTCGCCAGCGCCGCCATGGCGCATTTCAAAAGCTCAAACGGCGTAGCCTCGCCGTCAAACAGGCCGTCGAACGAGGCCTTGTGAATGTACGGGTAGACGGGGTACGTCCTGTCCCAGTACACCTCCAGATACGTCGGGATGACGCTCTGGACCTCGCGGCTGAGCGAGACGGGCGCGAAGACGTGGGCGGCGAACAGGCCCGTCCTCTGCCCCGACTCGCTGCCGCACGTCGAGAAAAGAGGGGTGGTCGCTACTGCGCATGGCGAGAGCGCCGCGAGCGCTATGTCTAGAGTCTCAGGTGATTGTCCCTCAACCAGCAACGGGGGAAGACTACGCACAGTAGAATTTGCGTGGTGGTGCGCGCCGAAGTGTGCAGGGTCTGCGGTCAGGGGCATCCCGCACAGATCCCCAGTATACTCGCACGCAGTTCCCGGCGCGGTGGGATAGTTGTATATCATGTTACTCATTGTTCTCGGGGCCGCCTGATCGGTGCTCCAGGTCCCAGGCCCGGGTGTAAATTGGATTTGAGGCGACAGTCTGTCCATCCCTGGGCCCTCGGGCCATTCAGGACTTGGTCCATAACCTGGCACGCCGGTGCTGTACTGGTGAATGTATCCTGGAGGGGTAGGCTGCTGTATTCCAGAGCCGACACCCTCATCCCAGGGCGCTGAACTGATTGGTATGTTGGGGGGATAGACATCATGAAGAGTTGTTGGTGGCTCTCGCATGGACTCGCTGTGAATCGGACCGTGCTGCCCACTCATGGGCGACATTCTAGAGTCCTGTTCACTTTGGTGGAGGTTAGATATGGAATACTCGTTTTACCTCACCACATCCTCGAATCATCTCTTTTGCCAACTTACTGTCTGTGTTGGTGGCGTTCAAGAAGGTCCTTTCGGTGAAAGGTCTTTCCGCAACCAGGTACGCTGCAAACCAGTTCAGGAGGGTTATGGCTCAACTGATGTCGCCTACAGTCGTGGAAAAGGATCCCATGTTAGCGAACTAGTACAGGACAAGTCAGGAAGATCAGTGGGAAGAGGCCAACCTCAGGTGCTCGGCTCGAGTGAAAGTCTGTTTCGTTTTCGACCGCGTCAGCATTAGATCCGAAAGTCATGGTGAATAGGAAGGGGAGTGTGCTGTATACCTTGCTGGGTTTACATTGATCACACACATGAACGGGATATCCCTTCTTTGCCCGACTCGGTCTCCCAGTGATGGGTGTGAGTTTGACGGGTGCGCTTGCGGATGGGACTGTTGAGTAGGCTCTTGAGGCTGGGTCAGAGTATGAACCGGATGGACCATAGCCATAGTTGCTATTGTAGTGGTCCTGGGGATAGTACATGGCGTCCATTGCGTCTGTTCCTGTGCTGATGCTGCTATGTGATCGACGGGATGTGGTTGAAGAGCTAGGTGAAGACAGTGATGGAGAGTCAGATGGTTGTGAGTAGGCCATGTAGGCTGAGGGGCTTGATATCTGTCGAAGTGGTCGAGCAAAGGGCTGGTCTCTTGATGTTATATGTCTGGCCGATGCTAATGTTGTTGGAAAGGGGGATGCGATGGAGGATGATGCTGATGATGTGTGGGTTGTGGGAACTTGAGTTGAGATGGAGCTAGCGGACCGTTCCCTTTTAACTTGGACAGGGTCGGCAGAGTCTTCATCCATGTTCATGATCTTTTCCAGGCTTGCCATGATGGAAAGTCTGGAAACGGAAGGGCCTATGCAGAGCCGCTCCTATATGCTGATGCTTATAGCAAGGACAAGGCCCAAACTTAGTAAGGCAGATTGATCACAGTTCCGCTGTTGGATCATTAGATGAGATACAACGCTGTGAACCTGTGGGGTGGGCGAAACAAAGGCAGGAGTCGTGGTCTCGCGAGATGGATACCAGGGCTTGAAGATCCGGTGCAAGCCGTGGCTGAGTAGCCGGTGTCTGGGGGAAGGACAGCTGCCGTGGACGGGAAGAAGGTCTCCTATCCTCTGCCTGGATTAGGTCAGTCTGGGCATAAGACGGTGGCAATCCCGATCCGCTGTGAGACAACAGAGTTGCGGCGGATAAAGATAGGACTGAAAGGAGGCATTGCTAGACAAATGAAGACACGAATAGCGAGCAAGCGGTAAAAGTAGAACAGGATTATGTTGCGGTCCCGAAGAACGGGGAGGAGGAGGCTACGGGCCCCAGCACACTCTGTTGTGTCAAACCGTCCCGGGGCGAAGTGTCAACCCTGCTAGCCTGTACAAGGGTTCGCCATGTCCACTTTGCATGCATACAGATGTAATATACTTAGAGGATGGGATAGGTAAGGATGATGGGATGTCTGCAGATTGTGCAGCAGGTAAGTATACACTAGCATGCAATTATGTACATATGTAGGTGCGAGAATGGACCTACCTAACAATACTACACAGAGAGGTGTCTCGCAGAGGATGCAAGGTACCGCGCCGTCGACAGATAGACACGTAGGGCTCTTGGTTTGGAGGAGTCGAGAGGCTTGGATAGAGAGACACCTCCCCTCATCACGTCGCTCCTAAGCATTAGGGATCGCGCAGAGGGTGTGATTTTCTGCTAATCAGATGTGTGCCTGCCAGTGGCAGACGTCAGGGCCTGAGCCTTATGGGAATCGGTCTTCGTGTCCATGGGTGCTCCAAAGTCCCAACAAGGGTGGTTCTGCTCACGGGCTTGGGGCTCGTGGAGGGCACGTCTTGTTGGCCAGACCCCCTGGAAGCGGATCATTTCCCTTCGGTCCCCTGCAAGGCCAGGTAGAGTTGTTATGCACGATGGTATCCATCAGAGCAGAAAACAACCCAAAAAAAAAAAGTACAGGCGGTGCACATAAGGCAAACGAACCATGATTAGACATGGGGTGGCCCTCGCACTACGCCGCACACCATAGAGCCATCTCGGCGACTAGATTGGCTACCACCGTTGCAAGGGGGGGCCAACTGGGGCCCGTTGCCCGAACAAGGGTGTGAGGGTGGGTGGAGCAGAGCAGGGAGTCTGACCATCATGTTGGTGATAGTTCAAAGACTACTCTGTTGGCAGCTCGCGGCCAAATTGTGTTGCAAAGAGGGGATAGGGACTTTTTGCAGGACGTGGTATTTCACTTACCCCTCGCGCTTTTTGGCTTTGATTGGTGGAACCGGCAGTTGTGAAAGGGGTAAAGGGGAAGAAAAAAGGAGAGCATATGCGAAGCGAAATGCGGATGCCACAGAATTCCTGCTTCGAAAGCAAAGCGGCGTGCGGCGGGTGTTGGATCCACGTTCACAGTTGGCACAGTGCAGGGCTTCTAAAAATCGCCGCCATGATGGTTTAGCTCCTGGCAGGGAAGCAAGGCGTGAGGACAGAAAGTGCCGGTATGGCCTCACAATCTCACAATAGCCATACCAAAGCCACAAGCGCGCCATGTTGGGGAGCCGCAGTCCCGAATTAGATACCGAACGACCACGGCTCCACGAAACGGCGCATAAGGATGTCGATGTGGCGCTTGTTGTCCGTCCGTAATATCATCCATCCCGTTGATTGACGAGCTAAGCGCAAGCCGAGCTGTGCTTGAGGCTGAGCTGAGCGAGTATCAAGAATAGCCGCGTCAGTGCGTCTACTACACCCAGTGAGGTGCTGAGACCATGATCGTCAAGGCAGGATGACTAGCACCAGGGTCGTGCAAGTGGCTGGTGCGGCGGCAGTGCTGTGGCAGCCACAGAGCAGTTCCCACTCGACAGGCACAGCAACAGTGCACAGGCCTCCTCTTGGCCAAGGCTTCTAGCCGCCGAGGCAGGGCAGGGAAGCCAAAGTAAAAAAAGCCAAGGCTTGGGAGGGCTGGGCGATGGAGAAAGGCGGCTCTTTTTTGCGTGATGATTGGTCCGGGTCAGCAACAAGCGCCCTGCCGACGTGAGATTTGGCAGGGGATGCCATAAGATGCAATGAAAAAAGAGGCGGGTCGCTCGGTGGGGGAATGGGGACCTGGCCCCAAAATAACTGTGTGTGGCTCCATCTCACATGAGGGAAAACGCTATTGGGCGAGCTTGCCGCGCAACACGATGGATGTGTCGACAAAATCGTGATCCGGGCTCATCGTGTGTGCGTCTCGGGTGTGTGTAGGATGATGGATGGAAGGAAGAAGAGTAGCTTGATCGCTGCTGCAGGTACCGTAGGGTAAGTCAGACGGAAGCTCGGGCAGGTGCAACCTCAACCTCAATGCGAGGCAGGTACCCCTCTAGCTGTTGCTCGCTCGCACCTGCTACTGCTACTGCTCTCAGGCACATTGACGCACGCTCACCCCATTCCATCCTGCACACCAGCACCAACCACAACCACAACCATTGTCACCAAGCAGCCAACATCCATCGCCCAACCTCCACCACCAACCACCCCTTGCAGCTGCCTCTGTGCAGGCAACAAGCACGTCAAACCAACTCAGGTCTAATCCAAATCCAACACGCGAGAGGGTGCGGCAGACGATCTCGGGCTAACACCCTGCATCCAGTCATATGTACGACGCATATCAATCACACCTCGCCAAGTCCTGTTCGTCCTTTTGCAGCCTGTGCCAGGTGCCATGCAAAGCACTCTGCCCAATAGGCGAGGGGGGCCCTTCGTTCCGTGATTGGCTCACTCGCCTAGGCATTTGGTTGGCAGGCAATAACTCTTCCGATATGCATGGTGGTATTGAGTAATTTACCACGGTGCGTTTGAATGTCATGTCCGAGCCCGGGCCCGCAGTGATGCACGCGGGGACCAACAACAATGGTACATTATTGTATCCTATCCGAGTTCATGCATAGGAACGCTAACATCTACGACCAACGAGAAGGTAGACAAGCAAATAAGCCAAGCGTTGGAGATTGGGCATGTAAGACGACCGTTTAGGCGACATAGACGATGCCTAATACGACTTCGGCAGCATACGCAGGGGTCGCTAGCGACCAAAAGACCATTTCTTCCTTGTTGTTTGTTGGAGGTTCTCATTCCCAAAAGCCTGTGGACTCGGCCAGCATCCGGGCCAGGGCCAACCAGCACCACCTCCACTTCCTTACCCACAGGTATGGATGTGGCATACGCAAGACCGAGATGCAGCCAGCCAGCCATTCATTCATTGTCTCGCAGGTGAATGAGACCGCTCCCCAAAATAGCTTCCATCTCACATCACAGTCTCATGCCACTCTATGCACAAATGATTACGTACGTTGCGCGTTTCATCTTCCCTGAAACCTCGAATTTCACGATTACATGCTGAGAGCAGCAGATGCTGATTACTGACTGCACAGCCGCGCCGTCCGCTGGTGAACCCCCGCCAGTGTGTCCTATTTTTGGATCCCACGACTTTTCGGCTGCCACACACATTCGAGCCCCGGATTCCTCCCAGCCCAAGGAACCAGCCGTCCGGACCCGGCTATCCCATCATCTCCGTACTCTGTGCTTTGGCCACACTCGGACGTGAAGGGCGATACAAGCCACAGCCTGGGGCCCTGGTTGATACGGGGGCCAAAACCGCTTATACTATCCAAGAACTGTCCGGGAAGCAAATCGGATAGGAGGGTCACATCCCTGGTGCGCTTCGCGGCTAGAATCAAGCCTCAGCTGAATATTCACTCCCCCGTGCTCAAGGATCGATCGATTCAGGAGGTCTCGTGTCCTGAAACCAAGAGAGAAAGGGGAAAATCAAATTGATGGAAGATTCTACGCTCTATCCATCCCTCCTTTTTCTGGCTTTGGCACCAGCAGGATGATTTTGACCACAATTGGTGGGCGGGATGCCCGGTGCATCTCTGACCTCCGCACCAGCTTCGTTCAACCTACATACCAATTATCTGTGAGATTGGCTTGAACTCCCTCATCCTTCAAGTCGGCGTCTATTTGGTGATAGTTGAGCATCTCATTAAAGGAGACTGACGGCATAGCCCCAGCATATGCTGAATCTTGGTGAGATTGGCGTCAACTTCACCATCCTTCAACCAACTTCTATTCTAGTGATGTTTTAAATTGGTCTGTACTGTAATTATCATCGGGATACTACCCTTTCCAAGCTCTAGACGAGACCTGCGAGAAAGTGAGCGGTGAAGCCAAGCCTTTGGGTAGTATCATGGTCTCGTGCCGTCGACAATGTTGAAACTGGAAATCTCTCCGCCCCTCCGCAAGGTCGCCCAGAAGGCCGTCCCTCCCACTCGGAAGCAAGAGAAATTGCCCCCGATTGTCGGTATCTGGGATCTTGCAGTTATTCTGCCCAGCCCTTTGTCACCACCACCCTACCGCCCATCTGGGCAGGCAATATGTAGGTAGCAGGGCAAGGCAAGCTAGGGCCCCATGTGCCGCAGCACGGACTGGAGAGGTTAGGTTTTCGGGTGGTTCCAGGGCA